ATTCCTGCTAGATTGCCTTTTGCATGGTTTTTTGTTCTCCTCAAGTATGCAAAGTGCTGGTCTCATCCTTCTCAGTACAACTCATTTACAGTCTGTTTTGTTTTGCTTTTTTTTTTTTTTTTTTTTTTTTAGGGGGAGAGGGGCAAGGAGAGCATTCTTCAGGGGGTCTGACTCCATTAGTCTTATTTCAAAACACTCTGAAGATATCCTATGAAAGAGCCCTTTCCACAAAGCAATCTAGTTTTACTTCTCTTGGGCAAAGAATCCCATTTTTGTAACAAATGACTCTCTCTCCTCTTTGGATCTTTTCCTTCACTTTCATTCTAAATTTGCTCTCGTGATTTTGTTGGTAGCAACCCCTGGCCGTCTGGTTGATCATCTGGAGAACACAAAGGGCTTCAACTTACGAGCCCTGAAGTTCCTAGTGATGGATGAGGCTGACCGGATCCTTAACATGGATTTTGAGACAGAGGTAGGAATCTGCTAAAAGAAGAGTTTGGAACACCAGATGAGCCCCTTTAAAACCACTTCATACAGTCACATAGTAAACACTGAGCTGTTCTGTAGAAATTAATAGCAAATTGTAAGTAAGATCTAATAATTGCACAAAAGTCTGTGGAGGGAGGAGAACTTAGTAGAGTTCTGCACAGTAGTAGCAAGAGAATAGGAGGCATTTTGTATTGAAATCTACTGGTTTCTCTGGAGCGCCCGACATTGACACAGTTACTGTAGAACACGGATCACACGCACGTTCCTGCAGGAATAGTGCCTGATATGTACACTGCTGTTGGACTCCTGGAGTTCACACTGCCTAATTGTCAACAAGCTATCAGCCTACACCTTCCCTTTAGAAGAGGGGAAACTCGTTCCTACTGTAAGTTGCACACATGCATTACTGTTCATTTGGATGATCATTGTATCTGGAGGAGGCTTATGTCTTGATTGCTGTTGTATTCAGCATTTCCATTTCCTTTCTGTCTTTACAGGTGGATAAGATACTAAAAGTGATTCCTCGAGACAGGAAGACATTCCTGTTTTCTGCTACCATGACCAAGAAGGTGAGAGCAGAGCACTCTGCTTTAGTTCTCCTTCCATCAGGCTATGCTGTTGATGATACAGGTTTCTGACAAGATCTCTGTCCACCTAGTACTAACTTGCATTTATCTTCCCAGGTTCAAAAGCTCCAGCGTGCTGCTCTGAAGAACCCTGTTAAATGTGCTGTTTCTTCCAAATATCAGACGGTTGAAAAGCTACAGCAGTACTACATTTTCATCCCCTCCAAATTCAAGGTAATGCCACTTCTGTTTCTTCCCTCTTCTGATTGTGTCTTGTCTTGCTATTCCCACATCTGCCCAATATCTTGTCAGCTTCTCTGGCTTTTACTTACTCTTTAATGTGGCATATGTGATTATCTCTCTTTTTTTTGTCCCTTCTCCGTTTCTTTACAGGACAGCTACCTGGTTTATATCTTGAATGAACTAGCTGGAAACTCTTTCATGATATTCTGTAGTACATGCAGCAATACTCAGAGGACTGCTCTGCTGCTCCGCAACCTGGGGTTCACTGCCATTCCTCTCCATGGACAGATGAGTCAGGTATGGGCACACCCCACAGAATGGAGTAGGCAGGAGTCCTGTCGCTCGGGACATGGACTGCACCGTACTGAGTCACAACTGTCTTGCAGAAGGAGAATTTCACAGCTAGCGAACTGGACTGATCCCTAGAAATTTAACTAATGTGAATACTGCCCCGATTCTGTAATAGTTCAAAAAGAAATTAGAGAAGTGAGGTTGTTTTTTTTTGAGTAGCTTCTCCCCGAGTTCTTCTGTACCAGTATTTCAACAAGAGCACATTAGCCAAAATGAGCATTATTCTCTCATTCCCTTTTTATCCTCCTCTTTTCCAGAATAAACGCTTAGGCTCTCTAAACAAGTTCAAGGCAAAAGCACGTTCTATTCTGCTGGCTACTGATGTTGCAAGCAGAGGTCTGGACATCCCACATGTAGATGTGGTGATAAACTTTGATATTCCTACGCACTCTAAGGTAAGCTAGTCTGTGTGCCAGCTGAGAGCTCCTGGTCACCAGGAGGCATAGTGAAGCTAGGCAAAGGAACAAAGACACCTCTTCTCAGTTCTGCTGACTGGAAGTCTAGTTCATGCTTCTGTAGATTAAAAGATGTAGTTCGGCCTCTGCAATTGAGTTGGCATCTCAGTTTGGTTGGGTGATCTCATCTGGACGGTAGAACTTATCCCAGAAGTGAAGAGGGGAAGTGAGGGACGTTCTGTGTCTTTGTATTTCTGCTCAGAGTATGTGTTTTGTCATATTATATTAAAGGGCTTCTAGACTTTGACAACAGTTTTAACGTATTACTAGTTTCAGGCAGTCATCTCTGTTCCTATGATCCAGGTCTGCCTACACATTTTAAACAGTGTTTAAAAAAAAAAGTAAAAATTCTCTTATGTTCAATGAGGATTTGATCAAGAAAGGTGTCTTTATTATGTTTCACCTTTGTATCACAAAAGTACAGCAAAGTGAAAAAAGTGAGTTACTGTCTACCTTATAGAAAGTATAGTATTATCTTAGGGGTGTGACTTTGTTTCCCAGCCTAGTTTCAGAAAACATACTATTAACATGGATTTCAGGAATTGCTGTTGTTCCTTCTAATGGTGACAGACACTACACGTTGCGAACAGAAGCAGCTATGGTGGTTCTTCTGAAGATGCTGCTTTTGACGTTGTAAAAGGACAAAAGTTAAAAAATAATGATGGGGGCAGCAGCTTGAATGACACCGTTACAGTGTTTCTGCCCCTCCCTCTTGTCTAGCCATGTCACAGAACACTTCCTTTCCCTTGATCCTTCCTTTCTCCACAGATGCTGCATGGAGAAGGGCACATTTTAATTTCCATAATGCAGTATAAAACCTGGAAAACAGCATAGAACCATATAGACAGGAGATGCTGAATGGATCAGACACTTCCAAATTGTTCTCATTCATCCTCCCTTTCGCTGCTTGCCAAATTTAAATGTGCTTGCCAGAGAGTCTGTCTGGAAGACAGACTGCAGAGCACTAGATCCTAAGCCTGAAAACGCAGGCATTGGCTCACTTTAAATATGAGCTTTCCAAGGAAGTGATAGTTCATTAGGGAAGTCATATATCACAACTTTTGTCCTGCAGTCTGTAATACTTGGAGGTGGTCTTCTCCTTTAGAAAGAACTCAAATGTTAAAAACAAAGATAACCTCTTCTCAAATCCTGATGCTGCACAGGGTCCTGAGTATTTCATCCTGGCTGTGTTTTCTCTCCCATTTTCTTCTTTCCTGAAGAAAAAATATGTGGTCTGATTTCCCATAACTTCTGTTCTGTGTTTGGCGCACATATCTTACTGCTTATCAAAAAAATTATTTTCAGGATTACATTCATCGTGTTGGGAGAACAGCTCGAGCTGGGAGATCTGGCAAATCTATCACCTTTGTCACACAGTAAGTGTTAAAATGTGGCAGGCTTATTCTTCCCAGCTGTGTTTCAGAGCAGAAAACATCTGACCTCATGCTGGATGAGAAGAAAATACTTCCTTTTCATTTTGAGGTGCAAGTTGGATTTATTTAGTTAAAGGGGAGCGAATTCAAAGCCCAGGGTGGGGAGGGAGAAAGGTCTAGGATAAATTCTAGAAGCAGGCACATAATGAGCGGAACTACCTGTTTATAACTTGATTGTATAATATATGTACATTTTTATAACATATAACGCAGGTTAAGTAAGTGTGGTCTTTTGATAAATACTGAAGTATTTGTCTAGAAAAAGTCTTTGCCAAATACTTCTGAACAGAGATGAGCTGAATAAATCAGTGAAGGAGTTGCTTGTGAGACCATCAGCAGAAGCTAACGATATCTGTGGGCTGGAGATCGGGG